TCCTGGTCTCCATCACTATAACCCAGGGGCGGGACTTGCCGTCCTGGGGGTCTCCGGGGAGGACCTGCCAGTGATCGAACACGCATTGAGGGAACGCCTGTCCGCCGGTATTCGATCGCAAATCAGCCGTAAATCCAAACGACTCGTTGACGGGAAGGAAGGCCTTCACTACAAACATCGGAGTTCCCATCACTTGGTTCTCCTCCACCACATGACCTCTCCTACGATTCAATACGCCATATATGCCTCCGACAGCATTTTCCGGGCACTGGATCTCAACGTTGTAGACGGGCTCCAGAAGTCGTGGCTGAGCCGTCAGAATGGATGCATAGAAACATCTTCTGGCGGTTGGGATGATTTGTCCGCCGCCGCGATGGATGGCATCGGCGTGTAGTGTCACGTCATGGATGTTGAACCGCACGCCTCGCATGTTCTCCTCACACAACACACTCTGATATAACAAACAATCAGTTAATGGATCAGTCATTCACTACAAGACAATTCAAGTACCTCTTTGGTGGCCCATTGAAAGCCCGCCACAACGCTGTCCTTAATTTCATTCAGATATTGAACGCCTTTTGTCACATCAACCAAAAGGTTAGGTCCGGTGCCCTCGGGTCCAAAGGCCCAGATTTTTCGGGCTTCAGTCGCGTCCCACTCGTACTTATCGGACAGGAATCGAGCCCTCGCTTTGAACTCATCCTTGGGGTTGACGTGTCCGTCATCGATGTCTTCAGCCAAGCCATCGGGCAACGGAGCGGCCTTCATATACAGCCGGTTGTGTTTGTTAGGAGACTTCGAGAGACACATTATGTTCGACTCTTCAGTCACAGTCTCTCGATAAGTGACCACTGGATCCGATGTCTTGATGGGGATCTGCGCGTGATCTTCCTCCAAGTCCTTCAGACAGATCTCCAAATGCAGTTCTCCGGCGCCGGCAACGATGTGTTCGCCCGACTCCTCAATAATACACTGAACCATAGGATCAGACTTCGCGAGTCGTTTCAATCCTTCGACCAGTTTTGGCAAATCGGCCGGATTTTTGGGCTCAACGGCTACGCGCACCACAGGACTCACTGAGAACTTCATTACTTTCATGTTATGCGCGTCTTTGAAGGTAGAGATGGTTCCGGTCTTCACTAAGAACTGATCCACACCTACGAGACCACAGATGTTACCGCACGGGACGTTCTCAATGGACTCCACATTACGACCCATCATAAGCACAGTTCTGTTCATCAAATATAACGTCAGTTTTGGGCTCTAATTGAGACACTCGTGGAGGACATACCGTTGGATAGCCTTCTCAACCAAATCCTCCTTCTTTCCGGGCACATAGTTTGGACCCATTATACGGCACTTCTGTCCCGAAGACACGATACCCGAGAAGACCCGTCCGAACGCATAGAAGCGGCCCTTGTCTGAAGTCGGCACCATCTTCGAGATGTACATCATTAGGGGGCCGTCGGGGTTGCAGGTCTTGATGGCTGTTGATAGACAAACAAGTGTTACATACGATACCAGAGTGAGGGCTGAGTGCGAGTGTCGTACCCACAGCTGCCTCATCGTCATGAGGGCCTTCGTATAGACTTTCCATTCGGTACTTCTGAGCCGTGATGGGAGACGGCAAGTGAATGGCTATCATCTGCAACAGTGACTCTCCAGCCGGAAGCCACGTCCGCATCACAACCTTCATCAGGTCTTTGCCCTCCTTCTCCTTGTCGTCGCCCTTCAACACGATATTCAACTTCTCGAGCAGTTTCGGGATCTCCTCCTTCTTGAAGTTCATGATGGCGTCGAACACCTTGAAGATGGGCTCCAACACAAACATACAGAACGATCGTTTGTATCCCTCGTCGAACTTCTTGGACCACTTCCTGGTGGTCGGGTTGTAGAAGTTCTCGCCCCACAGTCTGTTCATCAGCTTTTCGACGTCGATCTTGAACTTCTCGGCGTACATCTCAGAGAACTGCTTCAGAGTGAAGGCCCATCCGTGCAGACCCGACCCGAAACCCACACTTCCCTTCGACGGATCCACTTTGATGTCACCCATGGGTCCCGACTCGTCGGCATAAGTGGCGATAATCACGTTCACAGTCTCGACTATACGCGCGAACTTCTGGTACGTGTCCTCCGGTTCCAGTTGTAGAGTAATGATAGCTAAGTCCATCTTATTCATGAAGAGCACAGGCTTTATGCGCTCAGCGATCGCCTGACGTAACACAGTCTCCGTCTGTACGCACACACCTGTCCACCACATCAACACCACACCAATCAGTCACTTGTCATTCAATGCAATGTCAATATGAGTACAAACCGGAAACACAGTCCACGACAACCAGTGCTCCGTCCGTCACCCGCAGAGCAGCCGTCACCTCAGAGCTGAAGTCCACGTGACCGGGACTGTCGATCAGGTTGATTAGGAAGCCCTTCTCCTCGGTCTTCTCCTTCTGATCGGCCTCTTTGATGAACAACATGTCCGACGCATGCATCTCGAAGTACATGGAAATGGCGGTCGACTTAATGGTAATACATCTCTCCTGTTCGTCCTTTCGGGTGTCAGTGAAGCGCATCTCTCCCGCCTTCGAGGCAGCGATGATACCGGCCTTCGAGACCAACGAGTC